CCAGATCTTTCTTGAACTTGTGGTTCAAGGTTTGTTTCAATACAACTTGTAGTTTTTAAACAATGACTTGAGTGTTTGTGCACCTCTGTTCTGAGCGCTATCAGGGAGTGACAGATGTTGGCGTGTGGTTACCATGATGACTCTTGATGCTCCTGACTATGGTTCTTTACACTACTCACACAGTTTTTATTTACTATAAAAGTAAGTCCCAGCTTATGGTCTTACATWAAAAGATCACGTCTATAATTGCAGGCATACTGGTTGAATGGTCGGATTTTCGGTTTGCATTCACCACTCCAACACCATAGGGGGCAGTAGTGCGTCTAAAAATCACCATCCGTAAATGTCTTTTCCGGCGTTTACGCATGTTTTTTTTCCAGCGTAGTCAGGCTTTTGAATGAGGGATAGTATATTCGGCGTAGCTAATGTTCGTGAATACCACAGTGCGTTGAACGTGTGGTTATCGTATGTAGCTTTGYGAAAACAAGTTGCGCACAAAAGGTACAATTACAGCAACAGAAACGAAAACGAAATGCTGTARCAGCTTTTAGTGAGTAGGTCAAGGCTGTTTTTAACGTGCAAAAATTGTCCTGGAAGTAAAGGTAGCGAGGTAGGTGATCCTTYTTACGCTTTCGTTTATTAATCATTCTCAGAGGTTAGCCGCTGTGCTAATGTTAGCATTTAGCTTCTTCTCCAAACATGATTTGTTATTGAAGGGATGAAAGTGCGTTTACAAATATGTTGTAAAATTATGCATCTTATTGTCTTAATTCGTTAAAGTAACAGGAGGATTTGAACTTTGTTTAATAATACAAGTTGAATTATGTTACGTCCGGTGYGAGTGTAGCATGTGCTGTGCCGCCATGTTGAGCTAACTCAGCTACAAGGATCATCCGCATTCCGCGTTTGTTGATCAAGCTCTRCTGCTGTACTCCAGCATGTTTCTCAGTAACTAAACTTGACTAAATTCTTAAAGTAAAAGGTCAAAGGTTCGGTTTTAATGTAAGGAGAAGTTCCAAAACATCAATTATTTAATTTAAGGACAGTTGATTTATTTATAATTTTTTTTGTCTTTTTAACAATAATTCATGAAATTTGTTTTTCTTTGTTTGGTCTTTCAGATTTGTGAGGCGCAATGGCAGCCCCCTTTCCCTATAGAGGGGTGCTTCCAGGGATGCCACCAGGAGTGCCTCCGGTTGTGGTTCCCTCGGTTGTCCCCCCAGGTGTTTCACCTATAGTACCCCCTCCTGCACCAGTCCCAGATTACATGTCTGAGGAGAAACTGCAAGAAAAAGGTACTTTTTTTTGTTCAATTCAGCACATGCTTACAGGCAGAAATATTTCCCTTTCACATTTGTTTGTGAAAGTACATTTAATTCAATTCAAAAATACTTTGTCGATTCCAAAGAGAATTTAGACGTTGTGGTAACTAATTTAACTAAAGAGTTATTGTAGATTGTCATATTAATGGTGATTTAWAATGGCTTCTCCAATTTTACAGCAAGAAAATGGCAGCAGTTGCAGGCCAAGCGCTATGCAGAAAAAAGAAAGTTTGGCTTTGTGGATGCCCAGAAGGAGGACATGCCTCCTGAACATGTCCGCAAAATCATTAGGGACCATGGAGATATGACCAACAGAAAGTTTCGCCATGACAAAAGGGTCTACCTTGGGTAAAACTGAAATTTGCTTCTATCTTGATTCAACTAGCTCGTTTAAACTGTTTTCACAATCTACTTGTCCTGCTGGTTACAATGGCCTACCATTTGGGCTTGTTTTGATCTCATTGTGTATATATTTGTTCTTGATGAACAGTGCTCTMAAGTACATGCCCCATGCCGTGCTGAAGCTGCTGGAAAACATGCCGATGCCCTGGGAACAAATCCGAGATGTTCCTGTGCTCTATCACATCACTGGAGCCATTTCCTTTGTGAATGAAATCCCTTGGGTCATAGAGCCGGTCTACATTGCTCAGTGGGGGTAAGAGAGAGTTTGACATCCCATACCAAAGTTTAGTCTCACTTTATTTGTCTGGTTAATAACTCAGAAGAATGCACATCAGTGATGGTTCTTTGGTATTAATAGTTGGTGGTATTCCTTTTAAAATTCAGCTCTATGTGGATCATGATGCGTCGTGAGAAGCGTGATCGACGGCACTTCAAGAGAATGCGTTTTCCTCCGTTTGATGAYGAGGAGCCGCCGCTGGATTATGCTGACAACATCCTTGACGTGGAGCCTCTGGAGGCTATCCAGATGGAGCTCGATTCTGAGGAAGACTCCTCCGTTGTGGAGTGGTTCTATGAGCACCAGCCCCTCAAAGACTCGACCAAGTGAGTCTTCACTTCTCTTGTTATAAACTCGTTTAATATGTTAGCAGTTTGGCTTGCAAAATCAAACTTTCTTTTTTTTGTCGTCTGTTTAGGTTTGTGAATGGCACCACATATCGCCGCTGGCAGTTCACACTGCCCATGATGTCCACTCTGTATCGCTTGGCCAATCAGCTCATGACAGACCTGGTGGATTTTAATTACTTTTATCTGTTCGACCTCAAGGCCTTTTTCACATCCAAGGCATTGAACATGGCCATTCCAGGAGGACCAAAGTTTGAGCCGCTGGTCAGAGACATTAACCTTCAGTAAGTACTTTTTTCTGTAAGCTGCAGTGGCTTTGTCTGCGACACAGTCTTATAATCCTGAGACTTCAGGTTTAAGCCCAGGTTGCACCASGAAGGCATCAAACATAAAACAATTGCCAAGTCCTTTGTGCAGGTTCTCTCACTGTTCCAACCCCTGAAGAAGGGAGCAGCCAAAAGAAAGAGTGTTTCTTATCTAAATGGGAAAAAAAATATAAATATATAGAAAAATGACTTTAAATTGTTCATTTTTGTTGGACTAGAATTAGAATTTTGTTTTCCTGTTTGTAAACAAATAGATTTGTCAAACAGGGTGCTTTTGGAGGCATTATCGGTTCTATTAGCTTTGCTATAAACAGTCAAATAATGAGTTGAAAATGTTTTGTCATTTTGCTGATGGTCCTGTTCTTATTCTCTGCAGGGATGAAGACTGGAACGAGTTCAACGACATMAACAAAATCATTATCCGACAGCCCATCAGGACAGAATACAAAATCGCTTTCCCTTACTTGTACAACAACTTGCCACATCACGTGCACCTCACCTGGTGAGAATAAATGAGTTCTTAAAATGCTGTTGAGTTTTAATGTATTTGTGAWAAATGGGTTTCATCTTAATTAAATATTTAACTGCATCGCTCCTTATGTTGCTAAATTTATATACCATCTGTCAGTTGTGTAAACAAAATGTTTGTGATTCTTATTCTGCAGGTACCACACACCAAACGTGGTATTTATCAAAACAGAGGATCCAGATCTTCCTGCGTTCTACTTTGACCCTCTGATCAACCCCATTTCTCACAGACATGCTGTCAAGGTTTGTGGTATTTACTTTAGCAGCTGAGAACTGAGAGCCTGTTGAAAAATATATTTTTAAAGCTKTTTATTACGTAAGCATGTCCTCTTACAAAGGCGCACTTGCATTGGCTTGCTTGTTTGTGCGTAAGAACAAGAGGAAAATTAAAATGAATGAYGACCTTTTTCACTGTTACTCCTGACTGCAGCTGCAGATTACTTCGCGCCATTCAGACATTTCTGTCAGTAATAAAAAATTGCACTTTTATAAAGAATGGATTTTTTAAAGCTAAGATTCTTAATTTTTTGTTTTTCTGTTTCCACTCAGAGTCAGGAGCCCCTTCCTGACGATGATGAGGAGTTTGAGCTTCCTGAGTACGTGGAGCCCTTCCTCAAAGAGACRCCGCTCTACACTGACAACACGGCTAATGGCATTGCTCTGCTCTGGGCTCCAAGACCCTTCAATCTCCGCTCTGGTCGCACAAGGCGTGCCATYGACATCCCCTTGGTCAAGAACTGGTGAGCTAACCATCATGTTGTTTTACTTTAAATCTGCTTAGTTGGTTTTATTTATTTATTTTATTTATTAAAGTGCATATTAGGTCAATTGTATCATTATACACTGGACAACGAGTATAAAATGTATACATGCAGGTATCGAGAGCATTGTCCTGCAGGACAGCCGGTGAAAGTGCGTGTTTCGTACCAGAAACTGCTGAAGTACTACGTCCTCAATGCACTCAAACACAGACCACCCAAGGCTCAGAAAAAGAGGTGACCATTTCTAAACACAATTACATATTTTTATTGTTTTTGTCTTTCTAATTTAAGTCTGTCTTCCCATTTTTTGACGTACGTTTTTGTAAAGTTATTGTTGCTCTGTTATCATTCAGGTATCTTTTCCGCTCCTTCAAAGCCACAAAGTTCTTTCAGTCCACC